TCTTCTTCTTCTTCTTCTTCTTCTTCTTCTTCTTCTTCTTCTTCTTCTTCTTCAAGAACAATAACGTGGTCATCAGTGCATTAATGGTAACAAAACTTCGAACAAATGAATTTCAAGCTGGGGGATACTAAATTTGCAAATATGAAGAAAATCCTCGGGGGCCTTCGAGAAACATAAATTTTTAAAAATTTCAAGCAAAAGTGTTTAAAAAGCAAAATTTAGCTTCTTCAAATCGTTCAGCTGCAGGGGTGTGATCGACCCGTTCTGAATTCAGGAAAAAACCCGTTAAACCACGACAGTCACATATTAAGTGCTGAGAAAGTTTTGGACATTTTTGGGGAGGAGAAGGTGTTAGTTTGTAGAGGTCTGGTTCCAGTGGGATGAGGCCATACTTCAAATGTCTTGAGTGGCCTTTGGATGGTTCCAAGAAAAGTGTGGGAAACACCTTATGAGCTGTCAGTTTACAAATGTATTGTCACCACATTCCCCCTAACTTGAGTCCTTACAATTATTACCTTTGGTTGTTTTTTTTGTCAGACAGAGAGACAGAGTCTACAGAAACAAGCCAAAAATGATCGAACAGTTGAAACTAAATGTTGAGCAGGACGTCCAAAGAATCGACCCAGAAACATGCCATAGGGTTATTCAAAATTTCCACTGGCTTATTGGAGTTTGTATTGAGAGAAACATTCAACATCTGGAGATTTGAATAGTCATTACCTCCCTGAGTTTACTTGACAATAAAACTTTTGTATACATTTGTTCTTTATTACATAAATAATGACTCTTTGAAATAGAATAGTGCCAAGTTTTGCGTTTATTTAAATCTTGGTTGAAATTGAAAAAAAAAAACCCTTGATAATTTTCGAACATGGTTGTTGATTTATTTCATACTCTGAGTATGAAAGAAAAGCGAAATATATCGTCGTCGTTAAAGCACTGGCCAAAGCTTCCGTTATTGAGTTCTGTTAACGTTTCCATTAAAAAATGGTCTGAACCTGCTAGATTGACCCCATTTGAACAAAGCAATGCCCTGATTGGTCGCTTATTAAACAGACAACTAAACAACAATCACAGCTCACGGATACTCACTTGTCACATCATTCGAGCAGTGAGTTTGCACTAATGAGGGCACGTAGGCCTGGCCTACAGATTTGAAGCCTCGAAATATGGAAATCATTTGGCAACAAAAGTGGCATAAAAATGTTGATACTTTCACCAGAGAAAACCATGACGGGACTATTGGACGACAAAAAGATGGCGAGTCTACTGAACATGTGGCAACTATTTACAGGCTTGCATGTCTCCACCATCTACCGTCTACTGAACGGGTTTTGCGCCACCAACGAGACCAGTGACCTCCCCCGAACCGGAAGAACAAGGGCGACAGCTGCAATTCAGGAGCGCCTCATGATCATCATCAACCAGTGCCTTGCCGACTGGCGTGGGCGATCATGGACCTCCACTTCACTCTGTCGTGCGTTGCAGCAATGGTGTCTGTTGTTCTTGCTGCTCCTGGCCATGTTGTCATCTTGTCCAGTATCTTTTCCCTCAGTCTGCCTCTGCCTCTGCCTCTCTTTCCACCAAACTTGTTGTTACAATATTCTCCAATGCTTCTTTCCGCATTGTCTGTCCGGAGAAATTTGCCTGACGCTTTCGTATATTCGTCATAAGCTGTCTTATGTTATTTGCTTCAACCAGGACTTCTTCATTTGTTTTTCTAGCTGTCCATGGGATACGTAGCATGCGTCTTATGAACCATAACTCTGTCGCCACAATTGTTCTTTCCAGCTGTTTATTGATTGTCCATGCTTCGCACCCGTATAATAGGATTGGCTCGATGTAACTTTCCAGTACTCTTTTTCTCGTTTCCAGTGACATATTTTTTGAGTATCTGTTTCCTTTTGTGGAAGGTTGCTTTTTCTTGGCAAATGCAGCTTTTAATTTCGGTGTGACATCTCCCATCTGATGATATAATGGTCTCCAAATATATAAAATGTTGTACTTGCTTTAGAGTGGTATCATTGATTTTGATATTGCATGTTTGGGTTGGAGTTTTTCAGCTTATCACCATTATTTCGTTTAAAAAAAAATGTTTAGGCTTAAGCCCATGTTGTCACTTTCTTGTACGATGACATTTATTAGATTTTGTAGGTGTTTTTTATCTTCTGCTATTAGGACTGTGTCGTCTGCATATCTTAGATTGTTAATATTATGTCTCCCTATCGAGATACCTGGCATTTTTACTATGTGTTTCATGATATTTTCACTACACAGGGGCAACAAATCTGGAGAAAGTACACATCCCTCTCTGACTCCTCTTTTAATCTGTATGTTTTCGCGGATATCGTTTTCTATTCTCATTGCTGCAGTTTTATCCCAGTACACCGTCGTGAGAGAGAGACCCTTGCAGAGGCTCGAGGGACATGATTTTGGGAGACATCGCTTTAAATTAAAGAACTGGACCAGTGGTCTTCCAGAAAGTGGGTCATGGACAAGGAAATGGGGTAACAGCTCAACGCTACATTGATCAAGTTATTGAGCATCACGTAGTGCCCTTTTACTAGTGGCATCTAAATTTCTTTTTTTTTCAACAAGACAACGCGAGACCTCGAACTGCAGTGTAACACAGCGGCTCCCGGGGCAGATCAACATAAATCTTTTGCCTCATTTGGTTAGTTCACCTAACGTAGCTCCATTCGAGCATGTTTGGGATGATAGGCAGCTCAACCAGCTGCAACCGCAACGGAAACTCAACTGGCTTCTGCCACCGGTCAGGTGTAAGTACAGATCCCAGGTCCAGAAAGAAACACTCTTGTGAACTCTGTGGGTCTAAGATGTAGAGTGGTCATTGAAGGCAACGGAGGTCACACACGCTACTAACTTTCTGTCCCAAGGTCAAGGTCACAGAAATAACATAGTTAGGTTAAAACTACACTAAAACAGCCACCTGTTGACACTTTCATAGCTGTGTAAATTATACGAATTAAAATTCAATTTACACATAATAACAAAAACCGATTGAGTTTAAAGAGTTTTATCCATACTTAAGTTATTCGCTTTTCTTTAGTCTCCGAGTATAAAAATTTGAATTTTATTTCTTCAAAGTTTCGTTGAAATTCGTATGAATACGATCAATCCAAAATAGATAGATAGATAGATAGATAGATAGATAGATAGATAGATAGATAGATAGAGAGAGAGAGAGAGAGAGAGAGAGAGAGAGAGAGAGAGAGAGAGAGAGAGTTTTTTCGTCTCTCCAGTAAAATGTTAAAAATTGAACTAACTAGATTCCAACAGTGCACTTACAGTATGAAGACTGTATACAGACTTATAAATTACTCTTGAAGAAAAGACCCACATACTTGAATTCCTCCGCGTATACAGAGTCGTGTAAATTGTGACCCGGCAAAAGAATACGGTCTTCCGCTTGTGGCTGTGGCAGGTTCACGTACTTCCGGCCTAGAGGGCTACACTCTATAGTGCAATTTTTGAACCACCACGGAGCTCCAGCTCTTGACACACAGTCTCTCTGTTGACAATCGCAGTTTTCTGAGTCGTAAGTAGAAAACGGAGCGTCATTGCTCATAGCCAAACAGTTGGCTAATTTAGCAGTGGTTCCTATTCCTACGTCCCCGTTTTTCGAAAAATCAACTTTTCCAACTGTTAGGATATAGTTCGTACTTGAATTTCCGTCGTGGAAATTATTGTATCGCCTTCTGTTGGTTCCAGACTGGTAAACTGTCTCTAGGACCCCCATTGGATTTTTCATAGACTCACAGAGAATGTTGATGTTCCTTAGACCTATCCACCTATTGGCTTCGTCGTAAAAAAATCCTTCTTCGTAATCATGCCACGCTCTGTTAAAGTTGACCTCACCTTGACTTTTAAACATGTACGTTCTAACTTCTTTTCCGTTTGGGGATAATGAACACAGAACACGGAACGTAGGAGAACCATTTTCCAGTTTAAAGTATACTGAGTAAAACTTTTCTGTTTTGCGGCCGCTTTCGGTATTGAAAAAATCTTTACAACTGCCGTAAACGTCCAGCTCACAAAAGACACCCGCTGAACCTTCAGTGCACTTACATTTATTTTCTGTAGTATCCCATACGCCACATTTTTGACAAACGCTGGAGGTTAGAGTTAAGTCAGGGATATCACCGACTTTAGCGTAGTACTCAAATGGTTGGGGCATTTGTTCATCGCACTCCTTTGACGTCAGGCTATTGTAGCAGGCTCTGAGCATGTGACATTCGTTTGCTTGCGTTCCCACACGTTGAGACCACTCCGTTTCCCTGGAGACGACGCCTAGACAGGATCTGTCCTTCCCGCAATGTCTAGCACAAGAAAGGAGCCCTTTCACACCTGGAACGATTTCTCTTCTGCTTCCACCACACAACTTGCCGGTGGGGCATTGGTTCACCTCGAAAGTTAACATGGACAGCATTGAGCGTACCAGAATCAAGACCAACGCAAAAAGTCTTTGCCCACAACTCTCGTCGAAATTCATTACGAACTATAATGTCAGCCTTGCGGCTGAAAAAGCAAAATATGTTATACGTTATGTTACTTTTCTGATCCAGGTACGTTATGTTTAAAACACAAGAGTGACAAAATCTCTTTCCATGCGGACACTGAAATTTCTACGAATCCTTTGCAAATGTCGCCGAGCACGCCATTGTTGCAGTCACAATAACTATTTTGAACATTATCTAAATCTTTTAAGCTGTCTTTGGCTGTGAAAGTTGTCTCGTCAAACATGAACTTTGCGAGTAAACGTTAGCCGGAGCGAAAAGTTTTGCCAGAGGTGGGGTAGCTGAGAGGTGGGTTGAAGCTAGAAAGGAACTGGACCAATATGATGGTGGAGGAACACCTAGAAGAGCGGGTGGCTCGTCAACTTCAGCACAAAGGAAACAACACCGTGAACCGCTCCTGCCTTAAGGTCAACAAGAACCACACACTCCCTGTAACGTGCAGAACGTGTTACTTCTATCGTCCCCCTTGTTTTCCTGACGGAGGTAGCAGCCACCAAAGACCGTGCTTATAGCAGAACGCCGCCTGTGGGTGGGAAAGAGGAGTTAATAAATAGCAGAACTTTTTGCAACTGTTCAGAAAGACAAATGAGGCGGAAACAGGAGGACTCCACAGTTTAAACGCTAAAGGCTGTCCTGCTTAATAGTAAAACGGTTTTAAGGAATAGGTTTTGACAAAATGGACCAATTTATTCCGAACTGTCTCACTGAACACGTATACATTTATTGTCTGAATAGGTCTTAGAAAACGGCAAGCATGACAAGTATCAAGCAATGTTCTCTCTTTCTTTCTGTCTGTCTCTCAGTCTCTTTGTCTCTCTGTCTCTGTCTCTGTCTCTGTCTCTGTCTCTGTCTCTCTCTCTCTGTCTCTCTCTCTCTCTCTGTCTCTCTCTCTCTCTCTCTCTCCCCCCTCTCTCTGCCTTTCTTCCTTTCTTCCTTTCTTACTCTCTGTCTCTTTGTCTCTCTGTCTTTCTGCCTCCTTCCCCCCCTCTCTCTCTCTGCCTCCCTCTCTCTTGCCTCTAATAAGTGGGCATTTTTTCATAATTATGTTATTCATTTTCCCTCGATCCAATTCAGAATAGATATAAAGAAGAGTGAAATAACTTCCTTTTCTTTTAAATTAAGGGAACATGCTACAGACCTGGACATTAAGTAAAACCCATGAAAGCAAATCTCCGCATTCTAAATGAAATATCTTCGCAAAACCCTTCACATCACAAGACGACACAGGCAGAGAAATGAAGAAGTAAGAGCAGCTATCGGCACTGAGTGCTGCCTGTGTTACATAGAAAGACAGAGAATAAAATGGTTTGGCCACCTGTTACGTATGTCACCTGGCCAACCAGCCTCGAGAGCCTACAACACCAAGCACTCAGGCTATAAAGGAAGAGGAAGGCCACGCAAAAGGAGGATCGAGGGTGTCAAGGAAACCCTGAGAAAACATAATATCACAACTAAAAGAGCTGCGGAGCTGGCCTTCCATAGAAAACTGCATCTCCCCTCGACGCTTAACGGCAACAGAGGATGAAAAAGTAAGTATAGTAAATAAGTAAGCTACACAAATTAGGCTCTTCTTAAATCTGCCATATGTACAACGGTTATTGTTATAAATGTCTTCGGTGTAATTGAGGGTAATAGACACGGGTTTAATTTAATTTAAATGGATAGAATCATCATTTAACTAAGAGGAACAATATGTGAAGGTTGCTTTCTTTCACAATATTATTACGGATAAGTACTAAAACGCCGAAGTTTCCACATTTTTCAACCAATAGGGTTCAAATTTCTGATGTTTTTACAACCATATTGTAACAATTTGTCAACATCATATAAACGTAGTTTTTGAAAATAGTTTTTTGGGAGTAAATGTTTTTTTATACCCCCGTACGCTAATTTTTTTTGCGTTTTTCAAATACAACACACAAAATAAGCTGCTAAAACAAAACCAATTGAAATAAATATGCAGTTTTCTTGTTGACAAAAGTTTTGTATTGTAGTAATTGATGATCCTACCAAATAAGAAAGAAACAGCTTGAAAATTTTGAAAAAGCCTTATGATTTTTAAATATCCTAAATTTTGAGGTAACCGTTACAAAATATACATTTCAGTTGTTGACGAATAACGATTTCATCCCATTCAAATATATATCCATTTCTTATAAAATACTGAACACAGTGATACCACAAGACATTGTGTCTGAGGAGAATAATGTAAAGAGATGGATATTTCAGCACCACCTTCCCTTAAGCGACCATCAAGACGGCCACAATAGCATTTCCATGACAATTCTTATACAGCGGTCAAGAATTCGTGGCGCAACCTAATAATAATAATAATAATAATAATAATAATAATAATAATAATAGATAGCATTTGTATAGCGCATATCCCCGCTCAGCAGCAGGCTCTATGCGCTTTACACTATATTATCCTCAGATATCTCTGTAACGGGTGAATCAGTGTCACCCACACTTTGCACAGCAGTTTGTATCAATTCATCTTAACTTAATCATATTTTCCCACAAAAATTGAGGCTAGGTTAACGGGAGATGTACATGATACGAGGAAAGTTCTAGGGGTTTGACTTTCTTTCAATTTTCAAAGGTGGTACAGGCTTATTATAGACTAATTAGAAGAATTACGACGGATTTTTTAAAGTTTTGTTAAAAAGTTGGGCTCTGTGGCGGCCATCTTGGATTTTTTGCTCTGTTGCGGGGACAGACGTTTTCCTCAGAAAAAACTCGAATTTAAGCCTCAAACTTGGCACACAAATACACAAACCTATTATCTGTAATCTGATGGAGAGATTTTTGTCTATCACGGAAAACAACAAAAATATCCATATATCACCGGACGACTTCTGAAAAAAAAAATGAGTACAAGGACAACAAAGCAGAAATATTTTAAAAATTAATGCATATTTCGCAAAATGCTGACATCAGATAACAAAACAGAATATACAGCACCTTTGTGCCAAATTTCAAGTTTGTAGCTTAGATAGGTTCAGAAAAACGTCTGTCCCCGCGTCGTCACCATAGTATAATGAAAAAGTAGTTTTTGAGAAAAAACGCAAAAGAAAACCCCCACCTATTTGACAACGTCAAAGTTCGAAAACCATAGTTTTTTAAACAATAAATTTGATATTTTTGAAACGTTGGCCCCTCTCTGATATATTAAATGATATTAATAAGGTTATATGTTCATTTCACCACGAAATAAGCTTTCAATGAACATGACCACCTTCAGTAATTTATAGTTAGTTACTACCCTTGACCAGTCACGTACAAATCAGAACAATTATTCAGTAACACGCTCCGAGATTGCACCAACCCACACACACACACACACACACACACACTCACACACTCACACATATACACACACACACACGTACTAGCAAACAAACAAACACACATAACACAATAACATACGCTCTCACACACTGAGTGTGGGTGAATGAGTGAGCACGCATGCCCGCATGTGTGCGTTTGTCACGTATCCCAAGTGCTCACATTTTAAAAATCTGTCAAGGGTACTGTAAAATAATTTAGGAAAATGAGAAACATTTGTGAATTTAGTCTGACTAGGTTACAGGAGAATCCCACTATTCGTTACAGAAGTTCTGGGCAGTCAAAGAATGCGTTTTATGTGTCGACAGTCATGAGAGACACACTCCCTTGTTCGGCGTTGAAACGTGATTTACTACCTTCTGTTCTGGCGCTGCTCTCGAAGAATCTTATTTGTCGAGCAATGTGCTCCACGTTTTGCCTCAGTTCACAATGGTTGGGAAAAGTCTGGACACACATCTGCCCCATTGTTGGAAGTCCAACGGGTTCAGGCTGGGATTGTGTGAAGCTCAGGCACAAGGTATACCGCAACTTCTGTTGAAGTGATTCTGGTTCCACTCGATGACTAGAGCTTATAGCGTGCTCCTTCTTGCTAGAACCACGGTCATTTCCGCTCCTGAGGTCCCACATAATCTTCCCAATGATCTTCAACACCGATCAAGAATCTTCACATATTGATGTACTACCACTGTTGCTATACCATAGTCTTCCACCAGTTTGGACCAATGAGTCCTACAGCAACCCACGCATTATGTGTGCGCAGGTTGCGGTCAACGACGTTGTCTGGTCTTTCTGGACTCCAGTGAATGTCATTTCTTGTGTTCACGTCTCTGTTCAAATAAAGATGGGCTTCATCACAGAACAACTCTTTCTATGAATGATATCATTATCCTCAAGAAACCATAGCCACCGTTTGATCTGTTCCCTGGCGTGGGAATCGGAAATGACTTGGTATATATATTGAAATGGCATGCCTTCAAATCGAGAACGTGTATTAAAATTTTGTCGACAGGAATTATCGAAAGATAGAGTTCAACTCTCCGACGACTAACCATGCCGTTCACCTTTCCTTTTGTTAGACACAGATACACATGTCTGGCCTTTTGAAATCTACATACCTTCCAAGGATAGTGTTGTTTGATGGCAGACTGCAGCCCATCCTTTGTTAATTTTCGACGATAACGTTTTGTTCTTTGAGGCATGCCATTTTCACTTATTATGCTATTGTGAGTCTCAAGATCTACGCTTGTCCAATTGCCCCTCCCCTTTACTTTATTTGTCCAAAATTGATAGCTTTCCATCTCAGACCGAGTTCCACCGTCTTTGTCGTTACGTACGTTACGTTTTTTGTTTTACCACACCAATTAAAATTCAATCTGTCTTGCAAATGCGGGAGTTGAGACAGTTGTTGCAATGGTCAGGGAAGAGTACACAGTTCGATGTGATCCCGTCTGGAGAGAAGTTAGGTGGAGAGCTCAGATGCGAGAGCGATGTGTAGCGAAAACGAACGCGTCGGTCAGTTCCCACCTCGGTGTGATCCTGTCTTGAGCTTAACAGTGTACCGTTTATTCGAGTTTTACAACGTTTATGTGATCACATTCACTAGAGTGGCTGATCTTTGAAGCGACGA